ATTGCATTTCTAACCGCGATTATTAACTTATATTGACCTTTTAGGTTCCTTATGGTTAAATAATAATATACCAATTTGGGTAGTCATAATTAAAACTGATATTTCTTGCAATGCGTAAAACATACATTTGCTTTCGCTCAAGGTTACATTCATACCTACATTTAGATTTTGCTTTTTTCAAATTTCTGTATAGGGAAACCATGTTACAGGAGGGTACTCCCAAAGGGCGATTGGAACAACTGACGAGACATTTCTACTGCCGATGCCGATGTGAAAAGTTAAGTGTAAATATCTCGAAAATTGAATGTCGGAGGAAAGCAACGCTGGATCGAGCGGTGTGAAAAACTGCTTCGACGAGCAAAGTGAAACCGCTTGCGAGTTTCGAGCACTCCTAAAAGTGCTCGAGCGGGAAAAACGCTCAAGAGCGGAAAAAGCGCTCGGAAGCGGAAAAAACCGCTCGGGGGCGGAGAAAACGCGGTAGCGGCGCTTAATCCTTCAGCGCTTGAGCGCGGTTAAAAGCGCTCACGAACGAAAAGAAACGCCCAGGAGTGGAAAAAAGCACTAGCGAGCGGAAAAAGAGCTCACGAGCGAAAAAAGAGCTTGCGACGAAAAAAACGCTCATGAGCGGAAAAACCGCTCACGTTCAGAAAAAAAGCACTCGAGCGCCGAGCACATTAAGTAAACGCTCGCCGCCACTCCGAAAAGTGCTCGCGAGACTGGAATGCTTTCTCCACCACCACCTACCCCCGTAAGTGAGTTCGATGAACAGTCTTCACATCTCTCGGCAATGATATTGAAAGAGAGTCTTCATAACAGGGAAATGCATGAGGAATAAGCATGAGGTTATTTCGTTATCACGAGAAATGGAACGTGGCACGTGGACTTAGGATTGATTTATTAACGAAGGAAGCGAATCAACGGTTTTCCTCAATAAGAAGCAATTTTGTGGGTGGTAGTAAATCAGAAAGAATGGTAGGGACCAATACGGGGAGATTTGGCAAGCATTCGTTCTAGGAGTACGAGATAGTTTAGTACGTGGTCCAAGGGAGTAGTTTATTTCAAGCACTAAACGTAAGATCAATTCCGTTTCTGGGCTGCGGAAGCGTTAACCGTAGAAAGTTTTAATTCGGGTCGGTACCGCGGTGTAGTAGAGCAAGATCCAGGACTCCAACACAAGTATGTACAATAAAGTAGTATTAGTGTGTACAATGAACGCTATCTTGGGCCAATTCTCAGAGGAGAATATATTATACAGAATTAGAAATTAATACTGTCGGCAGTATCTGTGGACAGATACTTTAAATACCAAAAGCACCTATATTGTTCTTCCGCTTTTACTCACGGAGGTACTTTAAATACGCCTACGATTGGTCTGGCAATTTACAAAATATATTAAAAGGCTCCCTAAATTTCATAGATAAAAATTAAGTCTCAGTCTGTAAGCAAAGTGAGTACAATTTTCACGTAGGTATCGGTAGCACCTGATACCTGAGAATTAGCCGTCGGCCCAAGCTAGGGAGTATGTTTATGTGCATTGTACAGACTAATACTACTGTATTATACATATTTTGTCGATCAGAAAATAAGTAAGGTCTGGGAGCCCTGGGATCTTTGACTATAGGTCAAGCATATAGATTTTGTATTACATTTTCATATCGCTAGAGTTCGCGAAATGTGTTTTGTGGACATTTAACCCGAACAAGTCTTCGAGAATTCAACTTTTTAGTTGCGGAAGCATTAGCTCCGCAGAGCCAATTCACCAGATAGATAAAATAGTACTTACAAGCGAGTTAAGTGAATGTGTAATTTATCACACCACAATAAAGAATTATTGCACAATTGGACGAAACAGAGACTATCGTGAAATACGCAGCAGCAGCATAAATTAACAACCCAGGACAAATTAATTAAGCGCGCCAAGACGTTTATTTTCCGTCACAATGAACGAGTAGAAACATATTTCACGTTACTTAAGTCGTTAGTGAACAAAAGGAAGTTGAACTTTGCGAAATTTGTAACCATAATAAGGTTATAGCCTTTCGTAGAATAAACATTACTAAAAATTTAACGTGTAACATTTCTCATGCAATGAAAAAATTCTCCTATCGTGTGAATAAACAAAAAAAGCGTTAATAGCAAACTTTCATGTTAAAAAGACTCTTGCTTGCTTACAATCTAGACATAGTCAATCGTTCAAACAAACTACACCCAAAGAACTTTTGCTTCACCGGAAATTTCACCGAGAGACGTTTCACGATGGAAAAGTTCCCATTTACTGCAGTAATTAATTTTGCGCATCATTGTCGATTTTATTTTGGTACCAACAGCGTTCTCTGAAGGGAATTCTGTGTACGAGGTGCAGTGATATTTATTTACCTATGTGAAATTAAAGTGTGAACGTCTTTAAGAAAATTGCAATTTGTAGTTGATTGAAGAAATAACACTATTAACGAAAATCTGAATCCTCGGTTTCTTAAAGATCTCAACCTATGTGCAAATTTGTAGCAGTTTTGCATTGCATGTATTTCCCAACCTATTAGAATCGAATTGATAGAACAAATCAGTGTTTCGTGTGTTGGTTCGTTCAGATTTCAATAAAGAGAACCTCCAATTTAGTGGATTATGATTATTTTTTAGGTGAACCGTATATTAAAAAAATGTGCTGTATATTGTTATTAGATTCGATATTAAGCAAAGGCACAAAGACCTTTGCCACAAACGGAATTTCAAATTACAATCGGTGATTCGTTCTGAAATGGGGCAAAACCTTATAACTACTGTGTAGGGTATTTTAGTGTTAGTTTTAGTATTTCAGCCCTTGTAATTTTCTGACAGCAAGTTGCCGAATGCGGTACAAAGAACTAATTACCTTTTCAAAAATCTTTGAACACAGATGAATATAAATAAAGGAACGTAACTATCCATTGCCTATAATTCTACATCGCTTCTAAAGTAATGACATGAATTAACATATTCTATCTTATCTAAATCAGCCATGCTTTAAAAACGCTATACTATTTAAAAAAGAAACCACTCCACTATTCCGCACAAGCAACGCGTGGTGACAATAAGAAATGAATCTTTAACTTGGCCTTTTTGCCATTTATACAATCAGAACGTACTTATTTAGTTTCTTAAATGAAATGAATGTTGGTTGACAAACTAATACAGAAACGAACGTAGCACAGGGTAGTGAATGGGACCACGATTATCTCTACCACAGCATTCATTCCACAAAGGGAACGCACTATAGTGTCTTATTTGAAGCTCATTTACTAATGCTGCTTCAGCCTGAGTGTTCATTCAAAATCTCTGCGCTGTAATTGAGTAAATTTAACAAAAAAAAAAGGAAACTGATTAGCAGCACTACATAAAATAAGTACTTTACATAATCCCATCAATCTTCGTCAATTATGCTGTAGGCAGTTAATGAATCGCGAAATTCATACATGGAAGAGCAATTAAAGCTCTCTTTGATCGCTAGAATTAACCACTAGCTAATTGCAATAAGGTTATTAGATTCGACGTTAGCGTAATCTTTTTTATACGATCGCATTAAAATGCAATCGACGGATTATTATCGTATTACCCGAAACGATCGACCCATTCTTTGTTGTGCTTTAATTGTTTGTCTGGAGGGCTGTAAATAGATGGTGCTCGATTGTACAGAGCCATAAACGCTCACTCCCCAAAGTAATTTAAACTTTGTAGGTTAACCGCTACAAGTAACACTTCCCTTTGTTGTGCCTACATATTTATTTAACTAGATCGATTGAAGTCCAAAACATCGTTTAAACTCCAGTTTCGTTCTTAAGCGTCTCTTAAAAAGTAATCATAGTTTATAGTTGGGAGAATTATATCTATATAAATTACGTCAATTCCATACGAAGTTCGCGTGTCAGCTTCAGGAAAGTTTCGAACAACTGCTCATACTAAAAACGAAACTGTTCTCTTTTTACCATGTCAAGTCTTTTTTGCGTTTTCATGTTCTATTTATTTGTTTACTGTGCGGGTGAGTGAACGTTAAATTTATTTGTGAGTTAGGAGGATGTAGGTAATAGGATAAAATTGCCAGTTTTACTTCTCGAAAATCAGGATGCATAATATTTTAATTAATTTGCACGAATCAGGCTAACAATCAGTTGTGGATATAATTGGAAGTCGGGTATATGAACTAACATCATAGTAGGAGCTCTTTACACTATCTGCTTTTAGAATTTCAGATATCTGCCTTTTTTCTCTCCACCTGTATATCTGATATCAATTTTAAATATTCCTTTACATATCTGTAAGGACTACGCTCAGAAATAGTAATGCTGGCTTATATGCCCGAAAGGTCCGAAGAATTAGAATAAGTTCTCTGCCACGGAATGCTTTTCGGTAATTCAAGCTAGTAGCGAAAATCATGTCGGTTCCGTATCGTCTTTCAAGCAGGGCAAGTTCATTTCGTTTTACAATAGACATTAGGCCTTGACAATTGTAAACAAATTTATTTTGTAAAAACAAGAACAATAAATACCAAAACAATCAAACTACAAGAATAGTATATTCTATAACGAGTATGGAATAAGGTGTATTCCGCGCGAGTGAAAAGTTCGTCACACGAGCCGAAGGCGAGTGTGACGGTTTCACGAGCGTTGAATAACCTATTCCTTACAAGTCATAGACATAATTTTTTCTACTACTACAACGAATTGTTGCGAAATATGTAAAATTCCGACCAGAGTTAGTGGTAGACAATCCACTAATAGTTCTGTATGCTGTGGGTAGGTATAACAAATCCATGTGGCATTTGAGCGACTCTCATTAGTCTAAATGACCCAGAACGAACGATTCACTACACATGCGAAAGAATGTCAAAGGTTTGTTCGTTGTATTTCTGTTTAGCACAGACGTGTTTAGTAATCGAAAATGTACATATATTTGTTACGGTTAAAGTAGACATTTGGTAAATGTGCACATGTTAACACTACTCCTTACTTGTATGTAAGTATAGACAAGCGTAACATTTTAGTTGGCATTACATTTTACTTTTTAGGTTAGTTTTCACGCTCCCCAAGGTAATGCCTACTGAGGAAATCTGTTCTGGTCCTGGATCACCAACGACTTATTGTTACCTGTTTGGATGTTCTTTTCGTATAGTGCTGTGAGGTATATTAATTGTAGCGATATGCAACTTCACACGTTTGGTTGTAGGTAGGTATAGCTACTCGTGGCTTATGTTCTTAGGAATGGACCTCAAGATAAACACGTGGCTTAAGCTGTTGTGAGTGGACCTCAAGATAAGACTTGTGAACAAAACGCTAAGTGTTTCGGGATCTGATGAGGATTGGATTGCTTTTTAAAAGGGCCTGCAACTTAGCGTAGCTGCTTGTGTCGACATTATTGTTCAAAAGTAATTTAGATCGTAACATGGGATACGTTTTGCACAATGTTGTAGATGCTTTAATTGCCTGTGATAATATAAGCCAACACTACGTTTTCTGAAAATAAGTGTTTTTTCCTCATCCCCCGCTCCAAAGATTTGTCCCTACACTGCTTTTGATTTTCCGAGAAGTAATAATGTTTTGGCATTTTCTGCTGCCGCGGTGATTTCCGGGGGAGTATTTGAAAATTGCATTGGACCACCACTGCTGCTAATTTGCGCTACAGGCAATTAAAATTCAAAATAACTGGTGTAAGTTTAATTAAAATTTTGACAATTTATGAATTGTGATTTGGATATCATTAATAGATGTCGCCACATGTGCTCATTCCATCACAAGAGTTAGAATGAAATTATTCCACTTCAGTATAACAGAATAGGCGACATTCTGTTGTTAAAAGTATGGCAAGTATGAAGCGATTCTAAAGTAGTAGTAGAAAAAACTTATATTCGCACGAAAAAAATATTTTACGCGTGCATTACGTGATCCAAGCCACACCAAAGTTTATGAACTACAATAATTATTCGATTATCAACAAAAACGCACCTTAACATCAGGAAAACTGAAGTAGGACAAATCCAGTAAGCAAAAATCTCTTCAATCTGGGTGGAACATAAAGTAAATCTATTAACATATTTCGGACAATTTTCAACACGAATACGCCACTTCAAGTTAAACCGATTTAGAGGTATTGTAGAAAATGTGGTTGTTGTATTATATTTCAGTCGCCGTGAGTTAGATATCTTAAGGGTATCATAAAAATTCTAGCTCATTTTAATTGTGTTAAGCGGTTGAAATATTAAAAGAAAGACGTCTTAAGGTATTATACGGTTACGTGTAAATTTTCAATTAGGTAAAAAAATTTTTATTTTATGTGGATAAACTGGAAAGGGAAAAGTGATCACAGGGTTTGACTATTTTATTTTTATTACGCATAGAGTTTATCATTTTATTTCAATATTTACGAAAAAGGTATTTAGTATCTTGGTGTGTGGAGAAACTGAAATAACTTATAATTTTGTATTCAGTATTATACTAAACCATTCTGTTTTTTTTAGATTATCGACCAGATCGACGAACGATTTCCTATTGTAACGTCTCTTTGTTTCGTTGAATGTAACCTTAGTTTGAGTACCTGACTGAATGCGCTTAAGTATGTTAGGAATGTAGTAGAATGTGGAAATCTCATGTCGAAAATCCAGAGACATCAAACTAATTTCACATTCATTACAATACATTTTGAATTAAACAATTATCTGAGATATATATCTACACGTATTTACGTCAATGAGGAGTGTTGTATCTTTTCGAGGTAAATTTATTTTCATAGGATTCCTTATTTGGTTAACACGTTGCTTTTTCGGTTATACCATATGTTATAATATAATTACTTATTTTTTCTGCTTATAACGCAATCCGAAACCCATTTATTAATGTGGTACGTAAGTTTGAATTCATTACATTCAGTCTAATACTGGCACTGTAGCATATGGATTATACTATCGTTACACGATAAAGTTTGCGTGTAAATTTGTTTATGTAACCAAAAGCGGGAGATAAGATTTTTATTCCAATTAAATTTATGATTTATAGCAATGCATTTATCAACGAGAACTTGAATGTGTAATTTGTAGGTGGGGTAATTTATGTCAAGATAACAATAGTATTTGGAGCGAATTCTTGAGAGGTGGTAGTGCCAGTAGTACAATCCTTGCCCATCTCTTATTACCACGTGTTTTAGAGACTGCGTGGATTTCACGGATGAGAAAATGCCAAAGATGGTCGTGGAGGGAACGACAAGCAAACCCAGGTCCTCTAATACCCTACACTAGAGTACGTGTACTCAGTGTAACAGTTTAGTTACATTTACAAGGGCCGAAAAATGTTAATATGATAATTAATTTACCCACGGTCAGTTCAGTAATAAAAATATGTTCAAATCCCTTAACCTGCGGAAGTTGGGGCCTTATCTCCTCTGAAAACTTATCAAAATCTAATGCTTGGGTTTGGTTACACACTCGAATAAATACGCATATGACAAGAAAATTCCATATCTGAAATTCTTATCTTTCCACATAATGAGTTACCCATACATTCTGCCGTTCAAAATATGCAGACGCCTGTGAATGGTAAACACAATTTTAATCCAACCAAAGGAATAGTATCACTGAAATTAAATGTAAATTTTCCAATCAAATAATTACAATCTTTTAATTGGATTCGACTCTTATCAATAAATACAATACAAAAGCTGTTTCATACAAGTAATTTTAACGGGTCGATTCCTTTAGGAATATTAACATTACATCGAACAAAATTCCTTGTGCAAATTCCAAAAAATAAATAACGGCCTTGTTACGAATTAGACTAAAGCTCCCGTCCTAACGCAAAACCTAGCTTTCCGGTAACTCGGACTTCATCACCAATCTGGTTTCAATTAACATCGCGAATTTACAGGAACATTTCTGTTCAAAATTTTCCATTGAAAATAAAACTTGCCGCTACGATATAGATAAACTTTCACAAAACTAAAATTTTAGCACATCTAAAATGGTGCAATTATACGAAAAATAAAATTCCTACACACACAGTCGTGCTAACTCTTAAAAAATATGGTCACGTCGGCACCTCTCTTTTCACTTATATATAAACGCACACTTTTTATCGAAAATGCCGGCGTTGATATCGCTTGTATTTCCGAACATACTATCGTTCACGTTCGCTATGAAGCGGTAAGCATGTAAATTTTCATATGTTGAACAAAACACAAGTTCAAAACCAAAGTTTTAAAAAACGGCTAAGCGACCACCTGTTACATCAGCTTAGTCCCGATTACGGACTCAAGGATCAACAGTATTGGAAACAGTCCTTTGTATAAAGAACAATTTCGCTCTGTTGGCAAAGCGTTCTTGCGTGAGCTTCTTGCTTTAGGTCAAAAATTCCGGGGAGTGTACCCTACCTGGGGCGCATTTACTTAATCAAGGAAAGTTTTTCTTGGGTTCAAATTATCGGTAGCCAATTTACCACAAAAACAGAAGAGATCTCTAGCTGCACAGACTGAAACTTAAATGATGAAAATATCTAAATACAATTTTCGCGATTGTATTGAAAATATTTTTTAATCAAATTACTAACTTCGCGAAGTTTTCGCAACGCTTGCAGTGTTTGCAAAGACAAGTTTATTAATATTCCGTTCTTGTACGTAATACACGGTCGGTACCAAGTGAGGTTGTTACGCTTAATTTAACTTGTTGCTTTCGAAGCTCCTTTCTTTGCTTTGCAACGGGAATATGGACGAGTCAAAAGTACGCTCAACGAATGCTAATGAAAATACTTTTAGTAACCTCGTGAAACACGGAACCAATAGAGAGAATAAAATTAGGATTAGTGTCACAATATCGCTCTGTAAATAACAAATAAATCGACAGCGTTCCCTCTGTAAAGGGTTGCACCCTCTTCGGTACAAATAAGAGGCTTTTGATATTCACCTGGTGTTTTCCGAAATTAATGATTCCATTAACTGGCCCTTGAATTGTTTACGTTTTACGGTTGGTTTCTTGCGATTGTTGAAGGTTCCCGCTTAAAGTGAGATATACTGTACTTGCCCCGCTAATTTGTCCTTCGCGCAAGGAAGTCGTTTAAGAAAGGATTTATTGATACACTGTCGTAATGTGGCGTATGTTGTTGTAGATGTTCCCCTATAAATTTAGTAGAAATAAACTAAGGCGTCATTTGTTTGTGTCGCCGACAATGTTCAACGGAGGAATAGCAATGGATGCTACGGGAAAGTAATTATCAGACGTTCAAATAAATACGCTCCCCCAGGTCCTATGGTTGGAATTAATTCGGAACAGTATAGAAAAAAGCGATATAATGCGATTTTCTCTCCTTTTTGCACTTGTGGTGTTTAAAACCTAAAACTATGGGGGTGTTACCAATTCAGTCTTAATTAATGAGCTTGAAATGAATAAGTATTTAAAGTTATAAATTATGTAAGTACAGAAATTTATCACAGGAGTTGTTCTTGATTTTAAATCGTTAGCGTATCGTTTCACTTTAATTTAGTTGACACTAAGAAGTTTGTTTGCTTTAGAAGCACATCTTCCAAATTGCTTCATAAATATGTTTTAGACGCCCATTACACATAATGAAATTTGATTTATAATATTTGAGATTATATTTAACCGGTGACGATTGGCAACTATCCTGCTGGAGTACTTACATTCTTTTGCTTATTGGACGGAGCAATTCGTCTCTGTCACTTTTTCAATCCATATAATGTAACATAATATAGTATTGACATATCTAGGAATTGATGTTATTACATTTTGTATGGATTTGTGGATTTGAATATGAAATATATTTTATGATCAAAGAGGGATGAACATTATATTTGCGATTAAGAATAGTTGGACTAACGGCTTGATTACGAGAAGCTTAATAATTATTCATTGTCTCGTAGACGTGGGAATTTTTACAATTTATTAGAGTTATTCGTGTATTATATGTGTAGTTACCTGATTGGAAATCACTTCGTCTCTTTGAAAAAAATGAGTTAGCCTATGAAGGAGCAACGCTCAACGCTTAATGAAAATGCCCGAAAAGAAATTGATTCCGGACTACGTTACGTGACTCTCTCGTGATTCGGACCTGAACTCTGTTGGAGACCCAAAACCGAATGCTACCTCAACTCTCCTCTGGATTAATCCTTACTCATTGTTTTTTTACAAAACCACCCACAAAATTCGTTCAGTCCCACGAATCAGAAGCACCAGAAACCCAGGTCCCATTTTGGCCATGTTAGTTTTTTTAGGTAGTAGTATTGTTTAATACGGAATGTGTTAAGTATGTATGTCCATCCCTTAAGCTATTTTTTCAGATTTTGTATCATATTGTATACTGCACCTTACGACCGACGTGATGATTTTGAACGTGGGACGCTAATAATATCTAATAGTGGCAGCGGAGAGACCTGCGAAATCGTTCAAAAAATTTTTCGGAGTAGAAAGAATTGGGACCCACACCATTTTGTTCAGAAATGTTTGAACCTTTAGAATCTCGCTTTACGACATTTTCCCGTGGTCCTGACAAAAGTTATAGGCCGTTAAAGTTGAACTTTACTCATTTTTGCGCGCGCGACTAGACCACCGAAAGTATTTATTTTCTCAGCAACTAAGCGATATACATCAATAATTCCTTTTGTAAAATGAAAGTACATTTAGAGCAGAATCTAAAGCATTCATTTTTACCTATACCTTGTTATGCACAGTTTTTAGAAAAAGACCGTCAACTTCCAAAATTCGTGTAGCAGATGAAAAGTGCGCACTTTGAACTATCATAACTTTTTATTTCACGATACCGATTTTCAATATTAATAGCTCATTCGATGCTCCAAAGCATTGTGATTATT